GAGAGAGAGAGAGATTCATTGAGAATTTAAAACAGAAGTTTAATTTCTTACGAATGTAGTTAGCTTATAAAATATACAGGATATATCTTCTGCGCTATGTACAAATAGCTTTATTTATCATTATTTTGCAAATCGATATGCAAAAAGTATAAATTAGGAATTATTTTTTAAAAAGTTATACTTTATTTTTATTTATTTAAAATTCATATAAGTAACTATATAGATAGATAAGTTGATAAAAAATAAATAAATACATAAATAGATAGGATAGATACACATATAGACAAATAGACAAATATATAAAGTGAACACCAGGCAAGGAGATAGGATAGATAAAGAGCAGACAAATAGGCACACAGAAACAAAAAGATATAAAAGAAAAATTAAAATACATATAGGTACTATGTATGCTGCACGCAATATACATACATTTTGTGTGTATGCAAAAATATATTAAATGCACAAACTGTGTATATATGAATATATATATACACTTTAAATGTGTATAGAAAATTAATTTTAATCAATACTAAACATTTTTCATAACTTTTGAAACTTGATTCCTCTCTCTCTGTTAATCGACTACAAGCATAATTGCATTATATCTTTTTTGAATATGATTTTCATGTATATTAACTATTTTTGATAAATCGTTAATTTTATTCTTGTATTTTATTCTTAAATTTTTTTTTAGTTTTCAATTATTTAACGAAAAAAAAAAAAGAGAAAAAATAACGAATGATAAAATATGTTTTATGCATTTATATTATAATACTATTTAAATATATTGCATACTGTCGATTCAGAGAGAAGCATTGCAAGAATTCGACAATCATGCCAACTCCTTTTTTTCATGTACTAACTTTTTGTATAAATGTGTCACATGTAAATATTTATTATTTCTATTGTATGATGAAAATATTAAACCGTAATCGCTTCGGCTGACTAGTGAATTATGCGATATTTGTTTTTTTTTCCAAATTGAAATATAAAATCAAAACATTTACATAATAATATTATTATCATTGCTATTTTGCTTATATATTACTAAAATAATGCTAAATAGTTTTTTTTTTCAAATATTATTCATTGTTCAGCCGATACGAAAGAATGCGAAATGCAAGTTTTTGGATTTTTTATAATTTGTTATTTAATATAATAATGGATGTTATAGAAATGTTTTCTATATTTAAAGTTATAAGTTTTCTGTTTTTTTTTTGGTATTATTAACGTGTAAGCTTATATCTTAAATTAAATACTTTTTTATGATAATAAAATGACTTGTTACTTTGTTTTATGTAACACTTACACTCTTTGTAATTAATCCATCTTGAATTGAAAATTTAATTTAATTCCTATTATTCTTGTTATTATTATGAATAACATAATAATAGTTGATAATAATAATATTATATTCGTGAATAATGAAAAAAAAACATATAGATTTGAAGTAAGAAATTGGAAAAATATTTAAATAATATAAAATATATGAAATAAGTTTAATTATAATGCAAGATTTTTTTGAAAATCAAATAATTTTTAGTAATCAATAATAATAAGAATTGTTATTATTAATATATCTAATCTTAAAACTTGACCTCATTTATTCTAAAATATTGAACGGATGATAAAAACATTGAAAAATACATTTAAAAAAATGAAACATATAAAAATGAATGAGCTAATTCTTTAAATAATTCTTATGAAAGTAAATGATTGTTAATAAATTAGAGAATATGTACAGCAGGCAAGATTAATTCTATTTGTTTGCTTGCTTATATGTTGTTTATTTATTGTGTGCATGTGTATGCGTGTGCGTGTATATATATATGTATATATATATATATACTTATTTATTTATTTACTTATTTTATTTATTTATTTATTTACTTCATTGTTGTATGTCATATAATAGTTTTGTGTCGTATATTGCAATTATCATAAATCAAATTTGAAAATAGGCTTTAAATTATTATAACAATATATCTTAGATAATAATTGAAGCGCTCCCTGGAATCAATAGAGCTGAAAACTCTCGCAACAATTTTCACGAACTTTTATCGAAATTTACGTCTGTATATATAGGGGACCGTTTCAATTACGATATCATCGCTATATATATATATATATTGAACACTTGTTGAAATCCCCCCGTTAAGAAAGATTTTCAAATGTTCAATTAAAATGAACATTTCTTATACGTATTATCGAGTGTTCATCTAATAGAATACTTAATACATCATACTAGTTTCAGCCGAAACAGCAGATGACGTTTACTATTTACCTTCCATTTCCTATAATTACGTTATGCGTAATAATAACCATAATATAATGATAAACATTATTACCACCACAGAGCATTAATAGTGTTATAATAGCACTGTTGCTAGGGACGCATGAAGATATATTTATGTGACGGCGGCCCCACTACCTGTTTAATGCAATGAACGATACTCATTCATCCGAGTAAGATTCATTATACACACACATAATATTCAGTGTAGTATCATTACATCATATATTAACTCGTATCAGCATATTTTTCTTCATATTGTTTTTTTTTATTCTTCTCCTATGTTCTTCTTTTGTATTTAAAGAAGACCCTAATTGAACGATTTCGAGACACCCGTTGATTTTGTTTTGGCCAAGTATGTTGTATTTGTTTATACAGTTAATTATAATTTTTTTTTATCCATCGCACTTTCTTTTCTTTCACTCTTTTTCTTAATTATTTCTCTTTATTACACTTTAACATAAACATTCTTGTATAATTTTCATAATATAATTTTCATAATAATTAATAAGCGATCGCTTATGTTTTTCGCTATGATTTTTATGATCAACAAAAAATTAGAATGAAGAGAAATTAAAAAATTAAACCAGAAATCATGTATATTCTACGTAAAATAGTAGAATTTCTGATATGAGATCATTATTAATTGTATCTGTTATGACATATATCTTAATATTTTGTCTTTTTTTTTAATTTTTTTTTTTAAATTTTTTAATATCCTTAATAATACAAACCACATATATATAAAATAAAAATTATCACTCTTTTCCTTTCTTTTTCTTCTTTTTTCTCTTGTTTTAGATTTGATAGTATATGTAAACAGGAATATTCAAGGAAATGGCAATGAGAAGATATAATTGGATAAACGAGAAGCACACCTAAAAGGAAATGATATAGTATAGTAATAAAGAAATGTAATGATGTAGCAGGAATTAGTGATAAGATGGTGATAGTAAGAAAGGGAAAGAAAAGGAAAATTATGTTCATGATATTCTGAAATTGGAAACAATTTTCCAAATCTTTCATTTCTTCTTCGGTTTTTTCTTTTGAGATCAAAGTATATATTATCCAATCAAAAACAAAAATAACTTTTTTTGATACGACAATAATAATATTATTATTGTTATTATTATGTATTATTTAATCAATATAACATTATTTAGCTATCCCTGTGGTAAATCGAAGCTTTTATTTTCGCACGCAGGACAATTGAAACAAAGCTTTTTAATTTGATACACGAAATTCAAGGAACAGAAAAAAGGACAGGTTTTAATTCGAGATGTACTGCTACAGATGAAGCGAAAGCTGATGTAATTATCGTATGCGCATCTGAATTTATTATGATGAATGTCTATCAAATATTGTAAAGTTTGAATCTTATAACTTGGATAAATCGATTCACCGAACGATCAGCATAGGAAAAAGTTTTATAAATTATTCTCGACATTTCATAGTACGTCAAAAAGTTGGTTAGACAATGATCCTGGAGTACAGAAGTAGTGTAATCGAAATATGATCAAAAACGAATTGAAAACAACTAACTATTTTGTTTTGTTTCAATCTCACCTGACTATCTTTTTTTTTTTTTTTTGCTTCATATTTTTCCACATCGTATTCGATATTTGCTTGTATTGCATAATTATATTAGACAATAGTAATAAGTTGTAAGGATTTACCATCTTAGCACCTAATGTGACAAATAATATGGAATCTGTTTTGTAATGGATATAATTAGGATAATAATATAATTTAAGTATCTAAAAACAATGCTTCGTATTCCAGTTACATCTATTTACTACTTCGAATTCCAGGTTTTATTTCATATCATCCAGGTAAGAAAGCGAAGTCGCCTTCACAAAAATTTCTCCTTGTTTTTTCTTTTTCTTTTTAATGAGTCCATTTATTCCATGCCTGCAATCAAATTATTATATTATAATTAATATATTAATATATTAATTATTATATTATATTATCAAATGAAATAGTAAAATAGATTAAAATATTCGCATATTAAATTTATAAACAAAAATTACGGAACAATGTAATACAAAGTTATATGTCATAACATATTATATTAAACATAACTTTAAAATATTCATAATATAAATATAAATAATCGATAAAAGATTTTATTCAATTTTTTTTTCATTTCAATTTTAATAATAACTAATAACTAATAACTAATTTTATGCAAATAATTTATACAACATACCGGATGTTGTTTATCTTGCACAGCATCTGGTATTCCCCATGCTGGTGGATCCATTTTATTTGTTTCATTCGGAGGAATTTCTGTCAATGTAGGCGTTCCAAATTGTCCTGGCAATAACGTTAATCCTGGCATTAGCGATAAAGTAGTTGCGCTTCCATTAGGAAAAGGTTGTTGTTGAGTATCAACATGACCCTGCATATAAATCAAAACAAAATTATTAGATCTAAAATAAAAAAGCATGCATATAAATTTAAAAGAAAAAAATTTTTTTAAAAATAAAAAAAAATAGAAAGAAATAAAGAAAAGTATGAAAAAAAAAACACGAATAAAAAATGGACGTCAAAAAAAATTTACCTGAAAGGAAGATTCCATCATTTGATGTAATTCAGCATCAACATTGGATATACGATTATAAGTAGCGTTAGATCGAAACATTTGATGCCTATCTATTCCTGGCGCTAAACTTGCCCAAGATCCAACAAGTTTTTCATTATTTAACATCCAATTGATGGAATCGGCGTCACCACCAGGTCCCATCCCTGCTGTTGCATAATTTTTCCATGCTCTTTCTGTACCGATCGGTCGTGGTACCTTACGGTCCTCTATTTTAAGCTGATTCATCTCCTGAGCTACTTGTGCTGGCGAAGAAGGTGATATAGCTGGTGACCCACCATTTTCCAAGCTTGTAATTAAATCAATGCTTCCAGGTTGTGCGGTTATGTTTGCCAAATGATTGGAGAAACTAATTTGACTTATCATTGGATCTTGATGGGGCGGGTAATTATTGTGCGGTGGAGCAAATGGCCAACGAGTTTGTCCATTAGTTGAGATTCCGGTATTTCCGGGAGTAGCCCGAGATGGTGCCTGATATTTTCCCAAAGGAAAATTTCCAAGCATTGCTAGATTATTAGATTGGATTGCGGACGGAGGGGGTGGTGGTACAGTAGCAAACATATTTGGATGCATTCCCGCCGCCGGCGAACCCGCATTAAACATTGTTACTTGAGGTTTGCTATTTAAATGTAGCGAACTAGAAAAATCAGGCGCTCTAGGATTTAATCTGGACATACTGACAGTAGTATTCACCGAAGCAGATGGTGAAATTGTTTGTGTGAAATTTTGCATATGTGGATGGAAAGGTAAAAGTGGATGACCTTGTCCTTCATTCGGTACCATCTTTAGTAAACTTGAATTTACATTTGGATGTTCATAACCAATATTGTTCCTTTAAACAAACCTACGTCCAACGTTGGTTGTGACGTAGAGGCTATCACGTGCGGCTGATGAGTTGTTGTATTACGAGTTCCCGTCAATTCTCCTTGAAATACTGGCCTACTAAATTGTGCTCCCATAGCTGCTCCCATTTCTATATTTTGCTGAGGAATTACCGGTCGTGCTACTGCCAAGCTACCAGGTGGTTTATTTGAAAGAGGATGTTCGCTGTAATTTCCGGATGACTGAAATTGCGGTGGTTGAATAGGATTATGGCCTGCATTTGATGATACGCCACCACTTCCTATACTAGTCACATTCGTGTTAGTTGTATTGTTTGATTTACTTGAAACGGGAGAACACATTGTTGTTCCTCGATATCCAGGAGCTTTTGAAGCATCTACCTATATGAATAATAAAAAAAAATTATTAAAATATTTGCTAAAATTATAAAATATTTATTTTACAATTGTGATTATTAAAAAAACAATAGAAAAAATAAAAAAATAAAAAATGAAAATATAAATGCTAACCTGAGGGGGTACGTTGTCAATAAATTTAGATGAAGATGAACCCGAGATATTTACGGACACTCCACCACCTCCAGCTACAGTTGCAAAATTCATACCCTTTTGAGATTCATTTTCTCGGCCGCCCCACATTGACTGTTGCGTAACTTTAGTGAAAGTATCATTAAACAATGAATATTCAAGAGGTGTATTATTTGTCTGTTGCTGTTGTTGTTGTTGTTGTTGTTGTTGCTGTTGCTCTTGAATTGTTGATGCAATTGGTGGCGAACTACGTGCTTGTTGTTGTTGCTGCTGCTGCTGCTGTTGTTGCTGCTGTTGTTGCTGTAATTGCTGTTGACACTGTGATGATATCGGGGGCGACGGACTAACTCGTATTGACGAGTTTGAACAAGTTGAAGTGACAGTACTTTCCGAACAGTATGCAACCACAGTGCTTGTTGCTGGCGAAACCGCCGCATTTGAGCCGGGAGAATAAGTAGATTTTCCAGAGTAATGAGAAACCATAGTTGGTGGAGCAGACAAAGTAGGCAGTGGTCGGCAGTGTTTTGGCGATGTATTGACTGCAGACTGTTGAGATGAAGTCTGAGCCATTGCCGCGGCTGTAGCTGATACAACAGTCACTGTATTTGCTTGCAACGATTTTTGTTTGTTTACCGTAGTATGAGTGGATTGCATGACGGTAGTAGATGTATGCGTTGAGGCAGTGATTTCAGATAATTTCGCTGCAAATGTTTGCGTAGTACTTGTCGTTACAATTTTAGTTGCTCGCCCAGCAGTCATAATTGCACTCGTATATGACATTGTCGTCTTTGTATTTGATGACGAAGCCATTTGAGCCGCTACAGCTTGGGCTCGTTTTTCAGCTATAACAGATATATAAAAAACAATATATTAATCGAATATCTATTAATTAATTGAATATTATTTTTGCTACGATTATCTGCAATCTTTCTTTATGTATATTAAATTGATTAATATTATTAATATTAATATTATAACTAATATTATAATTATTAATATTAACATAATAAAATATAATGTTATTACCTGCAGCTACGAGTCTAGGTGCTGTCGCACGTGGTAAAGGTGTTGGAAATGCTCCAGCAAGTTTAATAGTAGATGATGATCGAAGTGGAATCAACTGATTAACGGTAGATACTCCAGATGTATAATTAGATTTATTAATTTGCGTGCTACTGGAACTAGACGTTAGACTTAGAGGTTTATTTATAGGACCCAACTTTGCTTTACTCGACTAAAATTAAAATATATGTAACAAATTAGGATACGAATTGAATATAATCTTCTAATCTGTCAAATTTTGCTATAATATAATTTTTTCAAATATTTATATAATAATTTGATATAATAATTTGATTGATCTTACAGCTACAGTAGATATTGTTTTATCCCAAGAAGAAGTTGTAACAACTGCCAATTTCGATTTTGGAAGCATTTGCAGTATGTCAACATCTGGATCTTTAATGAGAGCAGCTATTAATGTATGAGCTTGTTTTGTGGCATCAGATGATCCTCTAAAAGTAATAAAAACAAAAAAATTAAATCATATATTATTCTAATATATCTAAAAAAAATTAATAATAAAATATGCATACTTAATGGTAATAATTCGTTCACCCTGACATTTGCTTTGTTTTTCAACTTCAATATGCGCTCCTGTTGCACCTCTAATAGCATTTATATTACTTCCGCCTCTTCCAATAACTCGACTAATAGCATTTGGTGGGACAGATACTTTCTTTGAACGGAATGGTGAATTCATAAATCTTCCAGAATCATCAGATTGTCCCCTATTTCAGAAATTATTTTAAATTTTTATTTAATAATTATATCTTTTTATGACAACATAAGTTATAAGAATAATAGCATTGATAATTTAAATAACATTTCTTACTTTCGTACAACTTCTTTCCAACCTTCTTCGCGTTTACCACCCTGCTTAGGACTGGTTGTATTATTTGTCTTTGTAGAAGTATTTAATGCATCGCCATCATATTGATTATTATAGGATTTCTTGCCTTTACCAGGCACATATGTTTCATTACCAGTTGCTTCGAAATCTTCTCTATCGGCAGGATGTCTCGACGATTCAAACACTAGTTGACCTTTCAATTTTCGTTCATTACAGTTTACAGTCGAAGACCTAGAACTCATTGTAATAGAAGTCGCGGATACAGATACTGTATTAGATGCATTACTTATAATTCTCCTGAAAAAATAAAAACAAACGACAAATTAAAAACCATTAAAAAAATTTATAAATTTATATATTATGTATTTAATTTGCAACAAATATTGCTTTTCATATCATTATTTTTCCAACTTACTTTTCGGACGCACTATTTTGAGATTTAGTAGGAGTAATAGAATTTTGTGATAAAGTAGTGCTTTGCGTAACAACAGACTTTGGAGATCTTTGAGGAGACGTATCTTTTTCATTATTAGTAGAATTATTAGTTTTCTTTTTCTTTTTTTCTTTCTTTTTCTCTCTAGCTTTGACATCATTACTACTGCAACTACCTTGACTATTTGCATCGATTCCACTATCGCCTTCTTCCCTGTAAGGATCCTCTGGACTTCTATTAACTGGTGATGGCATACTATCCATTCTTTCACAACTATCTCCAGTTTCGTGTTCACTATCATCCGCTCTATCGCATTCTTCATCTCCGGATTTCTTTCCATTTTCTTCCTTATCTTCATAATTTGTTTCATTTTTTTTGTATTCTTCATGTAATTTTCGTTTTTCTTCTTTTTTTTCAAGTTTCTTTTTTTTCTTTCGCTCTCGTCTACGAGCAGCCGCTGCTTTTTTCGATTCTTCTCTTGTTTTTTCCATATCAAGTTCTTCCAATAAAATCGTTGCATTTTTATTTGCTTTTGCCGCTTGAGTTTCTTTTGCTGCTCGAATAACTTTCACACATTCTTGACATTTTTCTAGGAGCTCTTTGTCACTGACGGTAGCTATATACCTTGTCATTTCTTGATCACTTGGAAATTGAGTAACATGATTTACCATCCACTTAACAACTTTAATGTGTCCTTTACGAAAAGCGGCCATCAAACAAGAAACCTACAAATTAATAATGTAAAATATATATATATATATATATATATATATATATATATATATAA